CTGTGGGGTGTCTGACTGGGGAATGCATGGGAAGTCTCCTCCTGAGATGGTAACTGCAGGGGGTTACTCATGCTAGCAGAAGGTGCTATTGCCAGGACAAAGTGCCCTACAAGAATGGGGAGGGGATGAGGATGTGGGCGGTGGTGGATAAGAAGCACCATGCTGATTTCTCACCATGCTGAGAGTGGATTGCCTCTTGTGAAAGTTGGAAGCCCCCTTCTTCTACCATGGAAGTGCCTCAGTGAGCACACTTCTGTCCAGACAAGGACCGAAGCCCTCTGCTTGGCCACATGCTGACCAGGAGGTGGCACAGAGCTGGGCCGTGGGCCAGGCTCCCGTGGACCCACTACTGTGGAGAGGCTGTTGGTGCAGCTGCCGAGCCAGACGGCCCACAGCATCTGTTGGATAGCCTCTGGGGGAGTGCTGCGATAGCATTCGCCTCCCCCCAAAACAGGGAGAGGAGCAATGCTGATGTCATCTGGAGGAGCTCGTGCATGGACAGAACTACACCCAGTGCAGCAGAGACCCTTTGCTGAGCCCTGAAGAGCGGCCATGCCGGGGCAGAGCACAGCCTTGGCTTGTGGATACCTTCATAAACTGCCTGGCTCCAGCTTTAAATCAGTTTGGTGCCTCACTTGCCTGTCTTTATTCCTCGTAAGAGGCTGTTTCAGGACTGTGCTCCTCTGATAGCTGCAAGCTTTTTGTTATTTTCCAGCCTCTGTTTATTGGCAAAGTTAAGTCCATTTTTACTTCTGCTGTTATTGCCTTGAGCTGAAATAGCTCTTTGCTCTCGTTGGAGATAATTTCCCTGTTGAAATTACAGAGCACAATTCTATCACCTCTTGGCTTTGCCAAGCTAACCATGCCCTGGCTTTAATCGCTTCTTCTAATTTGGTGTGTCTGTTCTCTTCTAATCCCTCATTAACCCTTCTCTGTCCTGTTTCCATTTGACTCTTCATGCTCCTGGGAGACCACAGGAGTACGTGCTCTACCAGACCAGGTCTCTTGGCTGTACCGTCCACCCCATCTCCTCAAAATACCTTGGCTGATCTTAGAATTGGAGTTGCCTTATTCACAGTTGCACCATCTTGGCAACTTCTAGTTGGAAACTCTAGTCCTGGCAACTTCCAGGACTCCCCTGCAGTTGTCCTGGAGTCCTAAGAGCTGTAATGACTGCATCAGCATTAGATCTTAGCCCGTAACTGCTCTGCTATAAGGCTGTTTACCCCCTCTGGGACAGGGAGGTCAGCAGTGCTGCTTGCTGTGGCACCTCTGGCAGTGTCCCATGGAAGGATGTGGTGTGTGCTGCTGCCAGCAGGCCTCATCGATGTGACACACGGATTGCAGTAGAGCAAAGGAAAGCTTAGAGGGCATCTGCTGGGCTGGGAGGTGGTCAGGCTGAGAAGGGTGAAGTACAGGGGTCAGAGTCTGTTCTCTGGGAGGGTAGCAGAGCCTTGCTCTTAATGCCGTTCTGCCTCTGTGCTCCTACAGGTGATGCTGGTGATTGATGCTGCTGTGAGCCACCTGGAGAACTTGTCCTGCCTGGAAGAGTATCTCTGCAACCTCGGCAAGAAGCACCAGGCAGTTGGTGTGAAGGTCGAGTCTTTCTCGGTGAGGTGTCCTCTCTTGTCCTGCTGTGGCTGTGTTTGTGCAGCCCTGCCTGCAGCCCTCAGCTGTCCCCATCCCTCTGCGCCCACCTCCTGAGTTCAGCTGGCCGGAGAGAAAGCTGGTGGCTCAGAGCAGCCCCCAAGCTGCTGATACCTGCACAGTGACGTTAGCTCAATCAGGGAAACCCTTGAGTTCCCCTCATTTTCTGCTGTCCCCCAGTAAGCCCAGGGAGAAAGGACAGAGGGGAGCAACGCATTTCCCCTGTTTGAAGAGGACCATGGTTTGGGGCACTGCAGTCTCTCCTGCAACACAGGGCTGCAGGCTCAGCTTTTGCCCTGGGCCCTGGATCTCTGCATCAAACGCTCTGGGCAAACCTCACCGTACCTGGGAAAGGGAGCATCCACTTCTCTCTGTGTCTGCACTGGGATGGGCTTGCTGCATCTCAGCCCCTACTTCCTCCATGGCAGTAAGACAGGAGCGTCCTCCATATTAAACTCTTGCTTACTCCTCTCCTGCCATCAAGCACGGACAGAAATGCTGGATTATGCAGCGGGGAAGGGCAGGTTGAAGGAAAGGTTTCCAACAAACACATGGTTCCCTCCTGATACCGCTAGCTTTGGTCCTCTTCAGAGGGACCAGGGTCCCCTTTGCTTGGGGTAGTGATCCCCACCAGCCCTGCGCTAGCATGTGGGTGCTCCTGGATGGGGTTGCTCGCAGCTCCGTGAGGAGCAGTGCCCTGTGGAGAGGCCTGAGAGGTGGCAAGGCAGGCCCTGAGCATCCAGCCTGGGGTCTGACCCACTCTCCGGCATCAGGGCATTGCTCAGCTCTGCTGATCTGCTGCTATGCCAGGGGACAGGGCTGGCTACCTGCATCTGGAAGCCACGGAGAATGGACGTGTACCTCTCCCCTGGTGTTACATGCACCGTATCAGCTCTTGCTCTCACTCACCCAGGCTGTGGGGTGAGGGCCAGCACAGGGCAGGGGAAGGGGATGGTGTGGGCTGGGTCTGGGCACCCTCTGAACAGCCAGGGATGGGGTGGCCTGGCCCTGCTGGCGGAGGAGGAGCTTATGCCCTACAATGGGAGAAGACCAAAAAGGTGGTGAAGTGAGAGAAAGGGCTGCGTGTCATCCCTCAGGGCTGAACTTGACACCTCCCTATTTGGTTTGCAGACTGTTGGTGAGTCCTTGCTGTACATGCTGGAGAAATGCCTTGGCACTGCCTTCAGCCCAGACGTGCAGGAGGCTTGGAGCAAACTCTACGGTGCTGTGGTGAAAGCCATGCGACGTGACTGGGAGACCCTCCCGGAAGGGGACTAGATCCTGCCATCCATCTCCATCCCTGACCACGCAGCAGTCCTGGGCAGGGGGAGCACCCACGCCACTCTCTCGGCCTCTCTCCACCTCTGTCTTTCTCTGTGCACCAGCCCATTGCTGTCTCCTCCAGTCATGTGTGGGGCATCCTCGGGGCTCTCCCAGTGATTCCACCTTGCTTTGACATGACCACATCTCTGCCTTTGCTAAGGGCTGGCAGGGTACATCTCTGTAGTGAAGCCTAGGAGTGCCACAGCACAGGTACACTGCCCTGCCCCAAGTTCCTTCAGGCTAGGCTGGAACACCAACACCCATGTACCTACTCTGTTTTTTTTAGCTGGCTCATCTTCCCTCCTCTTGCTACCCACCCTAGTTAGATGACAGCTAGCGCAGGCCCCTCGGGCTTATTTGCCCGAGATCCTGTTTGCCATGCCTGAGACCTGCCAGGTCTGGCACTGCTCGCTCCTCGTGCACTGCTGTGCCCGGTTCAGCTGTGGCAATGGTGGATTTGGCTCCCTCCAGGGGCAGGGACGGCAGACGTGAGAGCTGGCCAAGCCCGGCAGCCATCCTCCCCAAACCTTGTGGGGAGATTTTCCCCCTCTCCCTTCACCAACATGTCACTGCCAGATGGCTAATCCTGGTGCTCTCTTCTGCCTTGCCTCTCCCCTGCATGGAATCCATGGCTTTTCCTTGTGTCAGGTTGGCCACAACTCAGCGTGTTTCCTACGGATGCTTCAAGCAGTGGGGTCATGTCAACCCGGAGGTGAGGCTGCTTTTAGCAGGTCTGGGCTGCCGGCTGAAAGGCTTTGTGTTGGTTTGGCCGGTTGGTTTAACCTCAGAGCCAGCTGAAATGCAGCAGCAGTGATGGCCCTTTACTGCTTTGTGTTAAGGAGAATAAAGTAAATACAAGGAAAAGCTGTCTTAAAATAAAAATGAAGGTTGCAATCATGTCATGGCAACAGCTTCCAGAAATCATTCTGGCTCTTGGCCAGAGGAAGCATAGCTGGAATTTCTCTGCTGATGCTGTCAGGACCTGGAGCGCGTCCCAGCTGCACACAATGCCCATCTGCAGAGCTCCTCACCCTTTAGTAGTCACTTCCAGCCATACTTGAGACACAGATGCTTCAGAGCAGAGGAAGGCACCCAGTTAGGTGTGTGCAGCAGTGCTGTGTCAGGACAGGAGTGAGAAGACAGCATCTGCCAGAAGAAATCCCAGGAAATGGCTGAGAGGCAGTACCTGAGGGCTCTGGGGGGGTGCTGAGCTTGAACACTTTGAAAAAGAGTTCATCTTTATGGGGAAGTCGCTGTGGGACACACAGAACCATGTTTCCAGCCATCACTAGCCCCAGGGCAAGGACATGGAACAAGTATTCAGTTACAGGCAGTGCCCTTTTTTTGCTGCTCCTTCAGGGCAGGAGAAGCCTGGTGTTGAGGGCTGAGGTGGTCGTGTTCTAGAGACACGTTCCTCCTGTACTCAGCCTCCACTCTGGGGCAGGAGAGGGCTGCTCACAGCTGCAGCTGAGGTCTCCCAGCCCCATGCCATGGAGGGGACGATGAGTCCCTTGTGAGATGGGGCTCTGCTTCCCTGCCACCAGGCCTGGTGGTGGCCATGGGCTTCCAGCAACAAGGAGCCCTCCAGCCGTGTTTGGGAGGGGAGCTGAGATGTTGTGGAACAGGCAGTGAACTTCCCCATGTAGGATGCTCGCTGTCCTCCCTGCGGTACCAGGCTCTGCCCCTGCAGTCCTACAGCGTGGTGTTGTGCATCCTGGCCCATGGCTCTCCCCATCAGCTGGGTCAGGTGAGGTCCTCCCCATTCTCACGCCAGGCAGTGAGGAATGGAGGAGCAGGGGCTGGGGGAGGCGCTAGCTGTGACAGCATGGTACGGGCAGGAGGGTTTGGGAATGGGGGCATCCTATTTGCAACCCTGTTCTGGGGCATCAGCCTTCAGCATCGTCGGGGGGACCTTCTGGCTCTTTGTGACAAGTAGGCAGCTGTGTGCTGGGTGGGGTGTGGGTGTTTGCCCCAAACCATCCCGCTCCTTCTAGCTTTCCCAGCTCCTTGACTTCTCCTCTTCTGTACCATGTTTTGTGTAACTCCCAAGACAACTGAACTAGTCTGTGTGCCTCTTATACCCAACTGTACTGTTTAATAAAGAACAGCAGTAAGTCTCAGCCCTTTTTGCTGCCTTTTATTTATTTTAATATAAAAGGCCCAAGCAAGCCAAAAGAAAAAGAAAATGTTGACAGAGAGGGGTTTACTGGTTTCTTGTTGGCTCTAGCTTTGGAGATATTGGTCACTAGAAGCGCTTGTGTAGTCCAGCTCACTGACGTGAGAAGGCATCCAGCACCAAGTATCTGTTGGGAGCTATTGTGCACTGTAATTGAATGGGTGAGCAGTGGAGGGGCTAGCAAAGGCCTCCTGCTGCTGATTGCTCATTACCCTTTAAATTTAATGACCTGTAATGGAATTAGAGTTTTAAACAATCAGCCTAAAACTCCCTTTTCTGTTGTTCAGCTGCTGCTTTTGTTCTTTGAGATAGCATCAGCTCACCCACTGCTGGTCACCCACTGCTGGTTGCCCACAGCAGCAGGGCACGGCCTCGCAGCGAAGTCCTACCCGGCTCCATGCAGCATCCACCCTGCCAACTGGACTGCGGAGCCACCCCAGCAGCCCTGCCCCAGGGAGCAGCTGGTGGGGATGCAGGAGGTCCTGTCTCCCCCTTCCCAGGGCATGTTCTAGCTTTGACAAGGTGGGTTTCCAGCCCTAGGAGAGTTGGGCACTTGGCACTGAAGAAGGATGGTCCCTAGAACGGGGAAGCCAGCTTGGGGTCTGTAATAGCATCTCCTGAGGGCTGGAAATCCCAGCCCTGCCACAGGAGGGCATGGTGAGCATCCTGGGAAAGCCTCCCTGCTCTGCCTTGGGCAATGTTTAGGATGGGGCTTGTTCTGCCAGGCAACGCGTGACGGGCTGCGAAGGGTGAGGAGAGCAGCAGAGATCTGAACACAAAGAAATCCTCCCTGTGGTTCATTGCTAAAATAAATTTTCCAGCTCTTCCTGGCCTGGAGCATGGCTGCCAGCCTCAGGGCTGGCGGTGGGAGCCCAACCTCAGTGCTGTGGGGAAGGGCCAGCACAGCACCCCCCAGCAGCACCCCCATCTTTGACTCCCTGCGCCAGCATGGAGGTTTGCCACAGCTCCCACAAACCGCCCCTTTGCCTCGGCTGCTGCCTGGCAGGGACAGTCCCAGCACTGCCCGCCGCCGGCCGGCGAAGTGGGAGACGCCATGGAATTGCTCGGCCCAAGCTGTGAGGGGCTTTTGTATGCACAGGCTGTAATCAGGCGAGCGGGTTTCTGGGGGCCGGAGTGGCGGAGGCGCAGCGTGATGGGGCTTACACAACCTCATTAGGCTGTGACGAGCTTCCTGGCATGAGGGCCGGGAGAGCCACGAGCCCAGGGGGCAATTGCAGCCCTCGCTCACAGCCAGGGCTCCTGCCTCAGCTCCCTGGTGCCAGCAAGGCCCTGCATTTAGCCCCATTTACCACTAATGATGAACTGTGGGGGGGGCTCTGTGGTGGGGTGTGATGAGGGGAATGAGTTTTTTAAATTTTCCAGTTTTTCATCCAATGGGAAGCCCTCCCCCTGCCCCGTGCTGTAAGCCAGGCTGGCTGGGCAGGGCTTACCCCAGGGGAGGCATGGAGGGGCAGGCAGGAGGGACCTGCTGGAACTAGAGGCAAACAATTCAAGTAGGAATTTGGGTATAAGCGGTGTGTTTTGGGAGAGAGGAAGGGAGCAAAAGAGCACTGTCTGCTCAAAACCTAGAGAAAGGCTCCCAAAATGGTGTTCACCCCCTTCCTGGGACTTGCTGCTGGCAAGTTCAGCTTTGGGAACATCTGCTCCATCCCCAGATGGGATGGGTCCCCCTGCTGCCCCCAGGACTTGCTGTGGTCCCAGAGGAGCTCCAGGCCGCCCTCCTGCTCCCTCCAGGCAGTGTGTGCCCCTTTGGTGGTGCCCTGAGCCAGCCCTGCCTGCGGGGTGAGTGCTGGCAGAGGACAGGCAGGGGCGGCACATGCCTGTCCCGGGGCTGCACTCCATCCCCAATGTTGGGGATCGTGCCAAGGGCTGTGCTGGCCTTTCCAAGGGGACATGACGGGGTGATCCCTGGCTCCTGCACCTTTGCTGCTTCTTTCTGTTCACCCGCTGGGGTTTGCTTTTGTGGGGACTGTGCTGGGCGGGAAGGTGCCTGGAGGTGTGGGGATGTGTCTGAGCGGTCTCCTTGCCACTTGAAGCCTCTGCAGGACATCCCCAGGAAGGGTCAAAAGCAGCCCACAGGTGGGGAAGGGGGCTGGGGTACTTTCACAGGCTCCATTGTGAGGGTCCCCCCTCTCTTGGCGGTGATGAGGACACGCCGGGGTGACGACACCAGGCAGAGGCTGGGTGAAGTCATTTTATTCAAGGCACGGTCATAGCAATAAATCACAAGAAGGTACAGACCTCTGGCACATTCCTACAGCAGGGCAGCCAAGGGCAATCGGACCAGCAGCCCGAGCTCCCGAGGACGCGGTGCCGCTCGCAGGCACTTGCTTCCACCCGGAGAGAGGCCATGCGCATCCCCCCTGCTCCGGCTGGGGCTGCCTCGGAGCAGGCAGTGAGTGCAGCGGC